AACCTAGAGGACAAAAAGATCAGAATCAGAAACAGGTTTATTGCCAGGTAGGTTCACACGTATGAGGAATTTGACTAGGTGTCGTGGTGCATACATACAAATAAAAAATAAAAATAAAAGTATACAGATAGCGAACTATATTAAGAACACTGTAATAAAAATATAGTAAGATAGCAATAAAATAAAGCAGTAATTTACATCGAAATAGAATGCAATAAATTATAGAATATAAAATATGTGCAGTAAGCAATATTTAAACATTGCATTATTTACCATCCTGTGATCTCCATCATGTAATGCATAGAGTCTGCGTTGTGGCTGAGGTAAAGTGTCAGTGGGGGGGGGCGGGCCTTGTTGAGGTGGCGAGAGGTTTTGGTCCTGATGGAGAGAGGTTCTGGTCCTGATGGAGAGAGGTTCTGGTCCTGATGGAGAGAGGTTCTGGTCCTGATGGAGAGAGGTTCTGGTCCTGATGGAGAGAGGTTCTGGTCCTGATGGAGAGAGGTTTTGGTCCTGATGGAGAGAGGTTTTGGTCCTGATGGAGAGAGGTTCTGGTCCTGATGGAGCGCAGCCTCCCGCCAGAGGGGAGGGGGGTGAACAGTTTGTGTCCAGGGTGGGAGGGTTCGGCCACTATCTTCCCGCCTGCAGGTTAGGGAGGGATGGCAGATTGCAGCCGATCACCTTCTCTGCAGAGCGGATGACACGCTGCAGCATGCCCTTATCCTTGGCTGTGGCTGCAGCGTACCAGATGGTGATGGAGGAGGTGAGGATGGACTCCATGATGGAGGTGTAGAAGTTCACCATCATCGTCTTTGGCAGGTTGAATTTCTTCAGCTGCCTCAGGAAGAACATCCTCTGCTGGGCTTTTTTGATGAGGGAGCTGATGTTCTGCTCCCATTTGAGGTCCTGGGCGATGATGGTGCCCAGGAAGCGGAAAGACTCCACAGCAGTGACTGGGGAGTCACACAGAGTGATGGGGGCGGGTGGGGCTAAAGTCCACAACCATCTCCACTGTCTTGAGAGCGTTGAGCTCCAGGTGGTTTTCCCCACACCAGGTCACCAGATGGTCCATCTCCCACCTATAGGCAGACTCTTCCCCACCAGAGATGAGTCCGATGAGGGTGGTGTCGTCTGAACTTCAGGAGCTTGACAGACTGGTGACTGGAGGTGCAGCTGTTTGGTTGGGGAAGAACGCAGCCTTGAGGGGACCGGTGCTGATGGTCCGGGGGTCAGAGACGTGTTTCCCCAGCCTCACGTGCTGCTTCCTGAAAGCTGGAGAGCTTGTCCTGCAGCAGGCCGGTGATGATGTGTGTTGAAGGCGGAGCTGAAGTCCACAAACAGGATCATGGCGTAGTAGTTTCCTGCTGTGTCCAGGTGCTGGAGGAGGAAGTGAAGTGATAACTATTAGTAAACCATAATAATGGATGTTATTATTATTATTACCACCCACACACACACACACACACACACACACACACACACACACACACACACACAAACACACACACACACACACGACACACACAACACACACACACCACACACCACACACCACACACACACACCCACACACCACACACAACACCCACACCACACACACACACACACACACACCCACACACACACACACACACACACACACACACACACACACCACACACACAGCACACACACACACACACACACACACACACACACACACACACACACACACACACACACACACACACACACACACACATTATTTCATAAATTTAGAAGTGTTGAACATAGTCTAACAACAGTTAGCTTTTGTTAATTTTACCCTCGAGCCAAACTTGTGATACTTGTTTCTGAAATCCCTTTCTCTTAAAGTGAATAAAAAACAAAAAAAACAATGGAGCTTACCCTAAAACTAACCACTGGATTGCTTGTCTAACATGACCTAGTCCATGTTAGCGAAGTACAACTGGGATTTCGAGGGGGAAGATATGCTTGGTTGATTCTCATTTTTACTTTCTTACTTTTGAATAAAAATCATGTTTGTATCACTACACTTCTAAGGGACAACATGGGTCAAACATTGCCCGTATTCTTTTGCTATGTTATTTCATGCATGGCTGAGTGTTTATTTACTATACATTTTCAAAAATAATTAATTTTAGCAGTGATTTGGACCAAGCATGTATGATGTAGTAATACAACAAGTATTTTAGTTCACACAGTGTGACATTAGCTAGTCATGTTAGCTTGTAATATATACAGTAGAGCAGAGCTAACTAGCAAGTTAGCCGAACGTTAGCGGTTAGCTGTTTATGCTAAGCTAGTTGTTGGCTACTGAATATTAACAAACTGGATTCCGCTGTAAGAAAGCTGTGAAACCTTACATTAAACTTGGCGACAACACTGTGACACCCCGCTGCATGTTTATGTGTAATTCTCCCGTGTTGGAGACGAGAGGTGGAGCGGCAGCACTGCAATAAGCTGTAAGCTAACGTTAGCAGCCACCTTGTTAAACCAGGTTTGGGCGCAACATCTTGCAAGAAACAGCATCTCAGGGCTTCTTAACATTTAACAACCTATTAATGATGCAAACTCAGCTAACTAGAAGAAGAAACGTAACCTTAAATAAAAAATAAAACATTCACAAACTAAGGATTATCTAAATACATGTTTAACTCCATTACAGTTGCAGGACTCACCAGATCTCAAGTCTTCTGTTCTTTGTTGACGTCCCGATGCTCATATTTAACGTGTAGATGTAAAACGATCCCGATATTAATCCATTAATCCATAAACTCCTGCAGCTCCGAGCCGGAGCTGGAAAAGCGCCGGTGTGAAAGGTCACCCAGCGCTAGCATTAATACAGAGACTGGAGGAATATGGCTTTACTTGGCACAGTCTGCATGCTGAAGCAAACATTTGTTTTTGTCTTCAAATACATACTTACATGATTGTGACGAGCATAATATTTGCTCCCCGCCCAACTCTCTAAGTGCTTGAACTCCGAGACAGGAGGATGAAGTATGTATAAATGGATGGAACTATCAACAAAACAACAGCGTTTTATTCCCCAATGTCATATTTAATAGAAAAATAATGATGCACCACTTATTGGAGAAAGAAGAATGGGGAACAGAAAGGTTTAGAGAGGGACAACATGCTGAAACCTTGCAACTTCAGTGCCAGAGAAAAAAGGTACTGTGAGTACACTTGTGGTTATTGTCCTCATGTTGCACGTAGAAAATTCAATTAAGATGTTTACCGCATGTGGGCAAAAATCCATCAATCTTTCAATTTTCTAAAACTTGTTATATCCTTAGAGTCATTTAAAATGAGTTTTTTTCTCCATGCCATGGAGTCTAAATGGGTAAACCTTTGTATTTGTAATTGTACAGCCATGCTAGGACAAACAAATCCCCTTTGCCAATGTTCTCTCTGCACTCTCTGTCACACACACAACATACATAACCCTTTCTTTGCATGACCTCTAAATGTCCATGTGAGCCACTAAAGAACAGAAAAAAAGCTGCGCTACCTTGGGCGCTTTATAGGTGGACAGGCAGGGAATCGAACCCCAACCCTCTATAAGTGGAAAGGGACAGCGGTGAACCTTATAGTTGAGTGCAGCCCTTTGTTAACAGCGAGGGTTAAGAGAGCTGTTTGTGCTCTACATGGAACTGTTTTCCATCTCCCTCTTTGGTTTACATTATTATTATTATTTTTCTATTAAATATGACATTGGGGAATAAAACGCTGTTTTGTTGATAGTTCCATCCATTTATACATACTTCATCCTCCTGTCACGGAGTTCAAGCACTTAGACTTAGAGAGTTGGGCGGGGAACAAATATGATGCTCGTCACAATCAAGTTAGTATGTATTTGAAGACAAAAACAAATGTTTTCATCAGCATGCAGACTGTGCCAAGTAAAGCCATATTCCTCCAGTCTCTGTAGTAATGCTAGCGCTGGGTGACCATAAATCCACTGGAATATACCACACACACACACACACACACATTTTGCAAATTTCAACTGATTGACAGCTTATTTTTGGTCAATTTCTACCTTTATCTTCACCTAAATGCATTTTCTTGAATTCTGGCGATCTCAAAAGTATCATCAAATGATTGGGCATCCCTAATTTAGTTGGATATGACACCTTAAATGTTTTTCTACAATGTTTGGTTCCAAAATTAAGCGTGTTTGAACATTTGACCCGAGAGACTGGTGGCCATCTTGGATTTGACCTCTCACGGTCCTCACGGGTCAAATCTGACTTCCCTCCACATCTGAAAATAAACCTTATGGTATGCTCTAACTATGTTAGAAATGTCATGCTTTTCTCATAAAATGCACAATTGTTATAATATGAGAGCTTATCCGCTGTACTAATTAATAATAGAACATGTTGCTTACTTCCCATTGGAATTAATAAAGCATTTTGATTGTTTACATTTCTTTATATTATCTAAACACAATTGCATTGCTAGGCAACAGCATGGTTCCATTCTTACTTCCTGTCAGCTGATGTCCTTCACTCCTTATTTGGAATGGAACCTTCAGAATTATGACATCATCTTTTGCTTTGATGTAGAATTCTGAATTCTGCATTGATCTTCTAGGAGATTGGCTGTGACGGTGAATTAATCAGAGCATCAGAGCACCAGAGCAGCAGGGAGAAGGGATTTGTCCAGCTAGAGTCAGATCATTGCAGAAATAGGTTTTGTTGCAAGCAAACATTAGGGATACTTGCAGTGTTTTTTAGCGAGATAATCTTCACAAGTGAACTCGACTTTTGTGGGATTTTTGTGACGTTAATTCAGTCGAACAATTACATTTAGTTTGCTAAACAACAGGTCATTTCGTCACAGCAGTAGAGATGGAGATGAACAATAGAGATGAGCTGGCAGTCAAGCTCGAGATTCTGCAAAAAGAAAATCAGGAAATGAAGTTGTTGCTGGAGCAGGAGAGGACTTTAAGCGATAAGCTTGAGATTGAAGGCGCTAAAAAGAAGGAAGCTATGCTCAAAGCATATACAGAGAAATCAGCTTTGCTGTTTAAGCACAATGTGAAAGTGAAAGCCCAGGAAATTGAGCAGAACGTCTTGCGCGTCAACAATGAGGACCTGAACATGAAATACAGAAACCTCCAGAGGTCACACAAGAAGGTCGAAGCCGAGATGGCTGCCTTGAGAAAGGCAAACCAGGAACTCAAACAACTGAAAGAACCCTGTGTTGAGGAGCAAGGTGTAGAGATGGCTGCTTTGCGTGAGACAAATCAGGAACTCCAACAACAGAAGCAGCGTTGTGTGGAGGAGAAGGATAAAGAGATAGCTGCCTTGCTGAAGGAAAACAAAACACTGAAACAAGAGAAGGAGCGTTGTGTTGAGGAGAAAGATGCAAAGACGGCCGCCTTGCAAAAGACTAACCAAGAACTCAAACAACAAAAGGAGCGTTGTCTTGAGGAGAAATCTGTAGAGATAGCTGCTCTGCGTGAGAGAAACCAGGAACTCCAACAACAAAAGGATCATTGTGTTGAGGACAAAGCTGTAAAGATAGCTGATTTGCGTGAGAGAAACCAGGAACTCAAACAACTGAAGGAGCGTTGTGTTAAGGAGGAGGCAAAGATGGCCGCCTTGCAAACAACAAACCAGGAACTCAAACAACAAAAGTTGCGTTGCGTTGAGGAGAAAGATGCAGAGATAGCTGCTTTGCTGAAGGAAAACCAAACACTGAAGCAAGAGAAGGTGCGTTGTGTTGAGGAGAAGGTGGACAAGAAGGAGGATGTGGAGGTGAAAGTGGAGGTGGAAGTGAGGCATGATGTTAAAATGAATGCCCTGAAAATTGAGCAGAAAATCTTGCGCGGAAACAATGAGGAACTGAACATGAAATATGGAAAGCTCCTCAAGATGCACGAGAAGGACAAAGCAGTGATGGCCACCTTGAGAAAGGCAAACCAGGATCTCAAACAACTGAAAGAACCCTGTGTTGAGGAGAAGGATGCAGAGATGGCTGCCTTGCAAAAGACAAACCAGGAACTCAAACAAGAGAAGTTGCGTTGTCTTGAGGTGAAACATTTTGAGATAGTCGTTTTGCATGAGAGAAACCACGAACTGGAACAACAGAAGGAACGTTGTGTGGAGGAGAAGGATGCAGAGATAGTCGCTTTGCATGAGAGAAACCACGAACTGGAACAACAGAAGGAACGTTGTGTGGAGGAGAAGGATGCAGAGATAGTTGCTTTGCATGAGAGAAACCACAAACTGGAACAACAGAAGGAACGTTGTGTGGAGGAGAAGGATGCAGAGATAGTCGCTTTGCATGAGAGAAACCACAAACTGGAACAACAGAAGGAACGTTGTGTTGAGGAAAAGGATGCAGAGATAGCCGCCTTGCTGAAGAAACAGCCAGAACAACCACCACAGGCACTCTCCGTGGTGAAGGAGGAGCTTGTGGAGGTAAAGATGGAGTTGGAGGTGGAACAGGAAGTGAGGGTGGATCCACCTGAGCAAACCAATGAGCCGATCCCAACAACGCAGAGGAGGACAACACCACGGTGGAGAAGATTAATCAATTCCTTTTCTTGTATCCGCCCAAACATCAACGATGACTAAAAAGGAAAACATAAGACTCAAAGGCAGCCCTGACATCGGCTTTAAAAACTTTAAAAAAACAAACTCACAACATCAAAAATTAGTAAGACATTAAAACATTTCAAGTACAGTCTAAAGCTCAAAGTGAGTGAGCAACAACATATACTCACAGCCAGTCAGGATATATATTTAAACACTTAACAGTTATTAGATCTGGTTAGACATCAACAAAGGTTCCAGAAGAGACTCACAGTGATGTGCAGTTTTAGCCACTAGGGGCAAAAAAACAACCTTAATTTTAAAATAAATAAACTATTCCTTTGCTTCTAGCACCCCTAAATAAGAGGAACATTTAGTCATTACAAGTTATCAGGTTTATGTTATATCGTCATGTTTGGTTTATAGTATTCATTTCATATTTAAGTTATATTTTTCATATTTACTTAATAGTTCATTTTTATATTTATGTTATATTTATCATGTTTAGTTAATAGTCAATTTTTATATGTATCTTATATTTTTCATATTTACTTAATAGTACATTTCTATATTTATGTTTAGTCCATTGTTTTCTTGTTAAGTTAAAGTCTTGTCAATCAATAAAAAAATAATAATGATAATGATAACAATACTGACACGTTTGATTTATTTCACGTTTGTTTCTCCTGTCTAAGTTTAGCTTCTTGCTTTTAATTTCAAGTCACCAGAGATTTAGTCTGAGAATTCAACTAATAATAACAATCAATACAAAGACATTCAAATTCAAAATAACACTAGAATTCTTTCTCGTTTGTTCCTCCTGTTTTTGTCTAGTTACCTTTGTATTGAGTGACTTTAGCTCACCTGGCTCTGCCCTGATCAATACACTGACTTAAAGCTACTTCAGTACTTACTTTATTACCTTGTTTACATTCAACAATTATCATAATAAATATAAACAAATGAAAAAACAACACTATGTATTTGATTTCTTTCAAGTTTGTTTTAGTCAACTATTTGATTTTAAATGCAACAGCACCAGCAAAAGTAGATTTTTTTTTACATTTCTGCTGTATTTTCTGAAAGTGCAAAAATACTGTAAATATTATATAGTAAATTTACTGTAAAAAAAAATGAAATAATCGTTATTTGTTGTTATTGTCAAAATACTTCAAATAATGTTTTGGGTTGTTAATTTATAGTTAATATCTGTCATTTTACAGGATTTTGCAAGTTATTTAAAAAAACATGATAATTACTATAAAAATTTACAGTTATTTCCTGTAAAATTACGATCTTTTTTTACAGTGCAGTAACACGGTAAACTAAGCCCAGTTTTGTTAGAAAGTTCAAGTGAAATATGAAATAAAATGATGACTGGTTTATTTTTATTCAGATTTATTTTTGGTAGTTTTGAACAGTTTATTTAACTTATTCAACCAGATAGTCTAAACTAACTATGATGGAGTTTGTTAGTGTTCAGTTGCAAACAAATCAAGTCAATCAAGTGTGCTAACATGCTAATTAGCTTGGTTTGCTCTCTCATAGATTCTTTAGAGCCTTGGTAAAAGATGTTGTGGCTGTAACCAGGAATGGAATGGGAACAGAATTTCTGTGTTGACTTTTTTGAAGTATGCAATGCCAAAGATGGTTTTAAAATAATAGTGGATACATTCATATTTGTTGTTTTTGCGCATTGCCACCAACTGGCCATCTAGTTGCCAGCTGAGTGAACCCGGAAATGTTGAGTACACCAACGTTTTATGTTAGAAATGTATAGTAGTGGTTCGCAGCACATAGCAACTGCTGGATGCTTACCTTGTGTTGATGAAAAATAATGGCATTATAGCCTATAAACAATAGTTAAAAGATAACTTGGCCAATCCAAATTATCCAGAGGCCCCTAAATCTTCTAAATCAGTCCACCGATAGTACAAATATAGGTATTTTCATTTTTTTGCCATTTTTGATGCTGCAAATGTCGTAAATGGACTCCTCAATAACCCCCAAGATCACTCCAAAATGGTCCAAATCGGCCAAGCCATTCAAGCCATCTTCATAGGCTATAATGGTAATTCATGCAAATTACGCAATTTATGCTAATTGTGGAAATTGACCCCTACTATACATTTCTAACATTAAACTTTGGTGTACTCAACATAGGACAATAGGACTCTATGTGCACGCAACTAGACTAATCAGAGGAGTTGCATGAAACCCTAACAGGATTTTACCCAGTACAGAATTTATTTTTTATGTCCATGATGCCACAAAAATGCATTTTAAAACTGAAAGGACTTGCATGTATTCGCCCATTGATTCTGATCGGTTAAGAAAGTCTTTCTTGACCGATGGAAATTAGGACCATATTTTTTCTGTAATCCTGCTGACAAAATGACAATCGAACACAAAAACCAAACCAAATACATTACCTCCTACAGTATGTACACACATGCACTGTAGTCATGTTAAATAAGCCTTTTTTTGGTATGAGCATGGCTTCTTTAGATCGCTCTGGTCGATATATAACAGTGGGACTTTGTCCGTTTCTTGTTCCATGTCTTCTTTTCCGAGCAACAGGGTTTGGGTTGTGATCTGGCTCCAGGGAGATGTGAAGTTGATTTGTGGTTCTTTCACTTTTCAAGGATAATAAAAGACAGGCTTGTGTGTAGTCCTCCATTTTTTCACCCTCCATCTATTCTGGAGTCTAACCACCCTCCGCCTCCATAACCCAATCTGTCAGCCAGTGTGAATGACTGTGAGAGACTTGAGATTTTGCTTCTGGGTTCTCGGCTGGAAAAACTAGACACAGGTCAATTGAGGTGGGTGTAGGTTAGAAAACAGTTTGCATGTGCCTGACTCACTCTGGAATAGGTTTCCAGGGGCGGGGTGGGGGAGCACAAAGAGCCATTATGCCAGTCAGGATGTGTTGATTGTTCAGCATGCTCCGCCTGCACAGCGCTCAGAGAAAATGATGCGGTTGGAATCTTTTAAGACTGGAAAATACGAAAGTAGAATTAAGGAAGAGATCAAACACAAAGGAAGGCATTAAAACGAGGACAGCTTGGATTCCTCCGCAGTGTTCTTTTCCTTCGCAACTTTGTTTGTGTTTGTTGGACAGCTAATTGTTCTGTTCCCGCTTTGCTGTTTTTTTGTTATCTCCTCTGTTAAGCATCCAGAGCACTAACAAACTGTAAGCTGTTTACAATAATATCACTGCTGCCCTCAAACCACAACCAAGTTTTGATTTATGAAAAAGATGTGGTCTCACCAGAGATTAAGGCAGTAACCAAAGTCAAGTTTCTCATAGATTTATGTGGTGGTGAGAGACTCTGGGCCTTTTAAGTTTCAACTGGAACACTGTGACAATATTATTAGTCAGCTATTTTGCATTCTTTCAGAAATATGTTCTTATTTCCAAGATTTAATCCATTTCCAAATTAATGTTAAATATCTGCCTTTAAAGGGATAGTTCAGATAGTATGAAGTGGGGTTGCACAAGGACCTTGTCCATAGTCAGTATATATACTATATATATATTATTTACAGTAGATGGTAGTCAGCACATCCCAAGTGGAGAAACAGGCAGGAGTACGGACACCTAAAACAAATGGCCACCTAACATAACAATATAAGCTTATATTAAGTGTACGGTATATTTAATTCAGGCTGATCCCAAAAAAAACACTTCCAACTCAAATCTGCAACTTATTACAGTTGTGCTTATGCATAAGAATACTGAAGTTCTATGGTAAAGAAAATGTGGTAAAAAGCTTTACTAATGTAAAGCAGTGAAATGATTCTATAGCGGACACATAAACTTATATTGGTTTTTTTAGGTGGGCTTTCGTTTTGTGAGAGGTAAAGGATCTAATGGAAGATCGTACCTGACACCAGAATTACATCTGTGCAAATCAAGCAGCCTCCTCCGGAGCCAAAAGCTGAAGTCAGAGCTGCCTTAAGGTGCAGTAATGGCCCACTAATGGTTAGCAGATGCTGGCTCCAGAACATCTCTCGCTATTGAAATCTATTCCCAGGAATACGATGTGAGAAAACTTTTTTCACATGGAGTAAGACTAAAAGTAATAATCCCTAAGATTTTTTGTCAAATATATGCCACAAAATAGAACAAACATTTAGATTTTTGGAATTGATGTCTCTCTGACTGTTAAATACAAGGAGTTCCAAAGAAAACTCCCATCATAAGCTATGGATTATCCTGCATGAGTCACAGGGATGGGGCAAAGAGCCTCAGAATACTGAAATCTGTATTTATTTTAATCTATTTTTCCTTCTAATTTGTTATTATTTACATTGCTTTTAAAATTGTGTGACACAAAAGAATACAAAACCAAAACATCAGCCGTTAGCTGTTAGCACTCAGAGCTCACAGCTCCTCATATCTGTTCAGAAACTTGACAAAAGTTAAACAAGTACAAACCACAGACTGTCTGTGTCATGGTGAATACAGTCGCTGGTTTATTTATGTCTGTAGGCCGTTGTTGTGAGTGTGGACGGAGCATATACAACGTTAGCTTAGCCTGATCGATCCGATCTCCATTCAGAAAACAAGCATTTTATACATGTAAGGTTTTTCGCCTGCCGTCTTGTCTGCAGACCGGTATCAGAATGTTGTTACTTCGGCATCATTTTGAAACGTGTATTACAATTAAATCATGGTAAAATATCTTCATTTTGTTGTAGTTGTAGCCCCCTTGCCAGCGATTCTCTCTGACCATTCAGCAGTCGAGAGTGTTTACGTCACTAGTTTAGCATATTCAGCCCGGTTGTTGGCCCGGTAAGAACCTCAATTTTGGAGGGCCAGAAAAAAGGTGAAAAAGTAGCCCTGAGCCGGAACTACCCCTAGTGGAAAAGCAAAAAAAAAATGTGCTACGTGCTGCAATGGAAAAGCGCCATAAAATGGACCACCTTCACCACAGCACCAGGACCAGAAGCTACTTCTGCGCCTGTGTCCAGTGTGACTCTAAAATAGCAAAGATGCAAGCAGGTACATGAATGCCCACGCCTGCACTGTACATGCTAAAACACGTACACAAACATGCAAGCATGCACACACCCCCTGCATTCCCACACTTGAATCTATGGATGTAACAGCTGCAGGCAGGCTGTCTAAACACTGCAATGTCAAAAACCTCTTTTGACAGCACTGCAAGTGAAAGTGAACATGTGTGTTCATAGTAATTTGCCATCTGGAAGGTCATTTTAGGTGTGTTTATGGTGGCAAAGGTTAAAAGACTGGAAGTTTTACGGCTTTTTGGCAGACAGCAGTTGCATGGCACCACCATAGTTTCTCTGTAAACAAGGAAGTAAAGTGATATCATCTCTTGTGCTGGCATTTTACATCTGCCCACGCACAGACATGCCTCGTCTTGCAATATCACCAGATTTTCAACCGCAACTTGTTTTATTTTTGACTACTTTGGCATTCTCATTGACACACCCAGGTGTGGGTACTAGTTAACTACTTTTTGGAGGACGCTGTGCGCTGATCTTCGGATCAGGGGAGCACTGGTTCAATCCCCACTGCAGTCATCATGTCCCTGGGCAAGACACTGTGGGGATTGCCCAAACTATTGAGTGCATGTAAGTCGCTTTGTGTAAAAGCATCTAACAAGTGACATGTAATGTAATGTACTTTTTCTGACTAAATTAAAACTTAATTATATAACACGTATTACATTTTTTAAGGAAACAAAAGGAAAGGACTACTTTGCATTTACCAAAGGAATTTGCTAGATGCAAAGTAGGACTAAAACATTATCTCCACAATGGGACAAAAGTACTCTTCACTGAAAGAAAGTAAACTATTACAACAACTACTACTCATTCTACTTCTACTACTTCTACTATTTCTACAGCTAGTTCTGTAACTCTACAAATGTGATTGCTGCTGGCTATAAGTCATCAAATAAGGCAGCTTCTGTTTGGTTTAGTATTGTGCCTTCGGGCTTGCTTTACAATTCCGCTGATTTTAGCTCTAGCTTTAGTAAGAGAGTATTGGAGACATTTTTGAAATGTATCATTTATCCTAGTGTGTATTCGTAACTCCATATTTTGATCAGATGCACCCTTTGCAACATTATCAGGGCCATGAATGAGCTTAAGTAAGTGAAAAGAGTGCTTATCCAACGTTATGAAAAGTTTGCAGTTTAGTTAGCTATCACATTCAGTTATGTTTAGGTGCCAAAACAACTATATGAGTAGATGATAATGTGCACTTTCAAGTAGATTTACTAGGCCCCGTCTAACCCATATCTATGAGGCTGATAACCACTGATAACGGCCATATAATGGGCTGAAATGCATTCAAAGCTGGTGTCCATTTCTGATATTGTATCTCCCATTCACTATAACCCCCAACCACCCCCCCCCCCCGCCCTTCAGTTCCATTAACAATTATGTCTAAACAATTATCTTAAAATAATCCCATAGACATGAAGTAGATTAAGCCCCTCTAATACACATGAAGCCAACTTCAAGATCAGCATGTAAGGACACACACAGCTGTCCCAACACTTTCATTGGAATAACAGGCCTTCGTTCCTTGGAGCCAGAGCTAGACATGCCACACATGCCTACCTCAGCAGCCCACAAACCACCGTGGGGCGGTGGGCTCCTACCACCGGGACAGGTGCTGCTCATATGACATCACGGCCTACTGTGGGTGGGTGCTGCTCCAAAAGCTCTCACATATCCAGGACAAAGCACTGATGACAGCTACAACTGTGAGATAATGGGGATATAATAATAAAGAGAGTGTGACCCAACATACTCTTTACAGTAGTAGAGATTAACTGCAGCCATGACAGAGATTTGTAAATCAGGCAAGACTTTACGGCATCAGAAGGAAAGGAAATGATGCATGAAAATGCATGAATCATCCTTGACATATAGCCTGAGAGTTATAGCTAAAGAGTTCTAGCAGGCAGTTTTTTACAAGTTTATATTTTGTGTAAGCTTAGCAGACATAATTCCCATATTTGGTGACCATAAATAAGTAGTTTAATATGTCAGAATCTTGGCAGAGTCGTATGTTTGCCTACAAAGTACGTTTTGGGCATCTGACCAAGAAGGATTAAGTGAAGCATGAACACTCTGTTCTAGGTTGTCAATCAACCTGTTGCTAATTGCTACTGGCAGGGAGTGTGGAGGGAGGAGGGGAACGGAAACGACAAGTGTTTATCTTACTGTTGATCTTTAAACTTACCTACCACAGATTCAACATCTGAGGCGCCATTTAAGGCAAGTCAACTGCAGATTATACTTAGTCAGCTGGACTGGGAGAAGCAATTTTAGATTTAGTAATTGAGCTGTCAGTCTCTGATGTGCACCCTGCAGTTGAACATTGGCTCACACAGACTGTCAAAGCATAACGATTTGCTGGGGTTTAATTGGAAGTGTAAAATGTACTGTGTAGGATCAACTCTTATCTTAGTTATTTATTTATCTTTACATTTTTATTGCTGTAACATGAAATTCCCTCTGCAGATCAATCATTCGAGGAATTTCTTAACTATATGTTGTGTTAATTTGTAGACAATGTGACCAAGGAAGGGTGAGAGGAAGAGGAAGGTTGAAATCTCTCAAATTTCCATTTGATTTACAATCCAACCCTCCCTCATTATAATGAGCTTTGGTTAATTACAGAAAGAATGGCATCGGGGTTACAAGCGGCCAAAATTAGAACCTGAGATCTGAGGTGGGCTTTGTACTAGAACACTTTCCTGTTAATAGAAACCATTTGAAGTGGTTTGGGCATTTATCAGTGTGCCTTCCTCTGGCATTGCTCATCCAGACACATCAACGTAGATGGAGACTAGAACTAGAACATGTTTTATCCATCTGATCTAGAAACACCTTAAGATTCCTTAAGGAGGAGCTCGAGGCTCCAAGACAAATATGTAGCAGAAAAAACGGATGGACGGCTGGCCAAGGAAAGCATGTTTGAGGGAAATTAAAACGGGTCTAAAATAGAACCCTGTGGAACGCCTCAAAAGATGAAGACGGGAAAGCAATAATCATATAACATGAATTAACTTTCTGATCTTTTGGATCAAATGCTAAAATATGATTTTAAAAAGCAGGGTGCAAAATGTTGATGTTTATTTTTTTCTAATTTCAACCAATCTCATTACCAAGTAGTTATACACGGCTGCTTGGTCAGGACCCCTTGGTGTAATTTTCTAATGCACATCTAAGAGTGCTGTGGATCGGGTTTGCATTGTAAAAAAGCCTGAAGTCAGACAGACCCTAAAGTGGGAAACAGACCGGGATGGTAATTTTGGCCTCTAGTTTTGACCTGAAAGGCATGAAGGCGTGCACTGATAAACCCCTGAATGTAAAAGCTCATATTCACACACTCCTTGTCCATTTCCTCCCTCCTTCCATCCCATCTGATACCAGCGAACCCAGTAGGGTCATCTGGAACTGAATCAACAGGTGGCTTTCAATGGAGGCTCTCCTCGGCCCCTTCAGGAATCCACCTCAACTTTATTATAAGCCCTATCTCCCTTTGCTCTCTGCTCCGTGCTTCCTTAAACGTCTACAATAGCCTTCAGGCTGGATGTCACTCGATATGGAAGGAGGAGAGGAAGGAGGAGAGGAAGGAGGAGAGGAAGGAGGCGCCTGAAGGAGCTGGTCATTCTACTTGGGTGAGCAAATGGGAACATCTGCCACTTCAGTGTGACCCACGTCTCCAATAAAAAAACATTGGAGGCGTCGTCTGAGAATATGAGCACGTTCCAGCTCAGGGCATAGGAATGCTGAGATAATGTTGTGATAAGGAGTTGTATCAATGGTACGGTGCATCTTTTTCTGCCTTTTCCCCTGCAGGGTAATTCCCAACTTTCCAAGGACAACTAGCTGTCTGTTTACTGGAGAGAGGGAGGAGGGAAGGAAGATAAGGAGGTCTAATATGAAATGAATATAGACATAGGGAGGG